AACATTGTCTCTCAAAAATAGCCTGTCAAGGGGCTAGAGAGATAACTTGGTAGTTAAGAGCACAGGACCTGGGTTCTATTCCCAGCACCCACATGGTAGCTAACAACCATCTATAACTCCAGTTTCAGAGGATTTGATGCCCTCTTCTGACCTCTGTGAGCACTGCACAACACTGATGCATCTACCTACATGCAGCAATACACTCATACACATTAAATAAATTGATTAAAATACTTTTTTGAAAACTAGTCTTTCAAATTTCCTGAACTATAAAAACTGTGTCTGAGTAGTGGAAATACATACCAAATGCTAAAATGTGATCTGGGTCTATGACTACACAATTTAATTTCAAGTAGATGATGTTTAACTATTCTATCCAAAACAAGGGGGTGTGATAGGCCCTTTAAAAGTGAGAAATTGGGAGCTGGAGAGATGGCTCAGAAGTTAAGAGCACTGACTGCTCTTGCAGAGGACCCAGGTTCGAATCCCAGCACCCACATGGTGGCTGTGAACTGTCTTTAACTCCAGTTCCAGGGGAATCCGAAGCCCTCTTCTGACCGCCGCAACACTGTACAACACGAATGCTCTCACATATGTGCAGAGGACTTACACACTTATACAAATAAAAAATACTAATAAAATTTAAAAAATAATAAAAATGAGAAAGTGTTAGAAATACTTGCTTGAGATGGAACCTGAGAAGGGGTTAAATCCAGGAATAACTTGTTTATGATCTTAAAAATTCTGATATTCTCTTTGAGAATTTTCCAGCAGTGTTCTCTAGCCTGCCTAACATTTCCTCAACTTGTGACTCCCCTTAAATTATTTGCAATGGAAACAACATAAACTTGAAAGTATGCTTTATCAAGATCGTCCTGTCTCCTGTAAGATCACTGCAGCAGTGTCATCAACACCCACAGGTACCCGGCGGCATGGTGGCTCCTCTTCACTTGGTGTCCTGGACATCTGGGAAGACAAGTTTGTCCTGGCATGTCTGCGTGTGCACCACAATCTTACTAACCTCTGTTTCAGAATCTTCTATATTGAACTGTCTTACTCCAGTTCCAGGGGAATCCGAAGCCCTCTTCTGACCGCCGCAACACTGTACAACACGAATGCTCTCACATATGTGCAGAGGACTTACACACTTATACAAATAAAAAATACTAATAAAATTTAAAAAATAATAAAAATGAGAAAGTGTTAGAAATACTTGCTTGAGATGGAACCTGAGAAGGGGTTAAATCCAGGAATAACTTGTTTATGATCTTAAAAATTCTGATATTCTCTTTGAGAATTTTCCAGCAGTGTTCTCTAGCCTGCCTAACATTTCCTCAACTTGTGACTCCCCTTAAATTATTTGCAATGGAAACAACATAAACTTGAAAGTATGCTTTATCAAGATCGTCCTGTCTCCTGTAAGATCACTGCAGCAGTGTCATCAACACCCACAGGTACCCGGCGGCATGGTGGCTCCTCTTCACTTGGTGTCCTGGACATCTGGGAAGACAAGTTTGTCCTGGCATGTCTGCGTGTGCACCACAATCTTACTAACCTCTGTTTCAGAATCTTCTATATTATGTTCTCATCAGTATTGTATTTATTAGTTCGTATTTATTTTGGTTTTGATTCTTATCATATTTAACATGGAAGGCTTGGATATGAACAAATCTTCTGATGTTCGATCATCATCATCATTATCATCATCATTATTTCTATTAGTAGTAGTAGTGAGTAGTAACCCTGAATCAGGATTTCCACAAGACTGAAGCCAGCTGAGCTAACAAATGATTTCCAGTCCAGCCTGGGCTACAGAGTGAGACCCTGTTTATAAAGAAAATGAAAAGAATTAGCACTATAATTAACCTCAATTTTTTCTTGAATTCTGTTAAAGTCATAACACTTGGAATATTGATAATGATTTAAATGTTAAATGAATTCTAAAGTGTGTCTTGATCCATGTATATTATAAAGTTTTCTATAATCCCGAATAAAAGAACACAGTGCACAGCAGTTCGAACGTCAGTGTTGAGGTAGACAATACCGGCTACATAATTAGTCAAAATATCTTCACCTGTTCAGGTAACCGATGAAGACTCCTAGGTTTATTTAGAGTGTATTATGTGCTAGTCATGAAACGCATAAACATTTTAACATCAAGTATAAAATGAAGATGTTTATTAAGTAACAAGTACTTAATTTTAAACTTGGGCTTGGCTGAACCCTTGTATAACGAACCCACAGAGCGGGATTTAACCTCGTGTGTTGGATCCAAAGTTCCTTTTTTTGACATTCTAAAATTTCAGAAATTCTACTTTGCATGATAGAATTCAGATGAAAGGAAAAGCTTGTGGACTATTTTAAGGTATTAATTCTGTTCTGATGGAGGCATATGCTTGTCATCACACCCCTCAGGAGGCTGAGACAGGGGGATCATGAGTTCAAGACCAGGCTAGTCCCCCAGTAGCATAGCAAGATCGATCTCAAAAGGGAGAAAAAAAGGAAAATGCATTCTGCTCCGCTACCAAGTGCAGTATTACTGAAGTGAGAAGGACTTATAAAATTTAGTTTTAAAAATTTCCTGAGAGCCTTGTATGTTCTATAAAACATAAGCACGTCATGATACTTTTCAGCTATAGATTTGGAAGGGTAGATGTCTTCTGTGTTAGGGTATGATGAGTGACATCGGTGATGGGCTGTCCAGCTTCAGTGAACTGGTGAGCTGCTCCTCATCAGATGGGAGATTCCACTTTCCTTTGGCCCATGTTTCAACATTGGCACTCAGCCATGTGCAGAAACTCTCTTCTATGCTGACTGGGAGGCTTGAGCTAATCTACGTGATCTGATCTGAGCATTCCATTAATTCTAATGGTCATGAGCAAAATGGCCGTTTTTATACTGGAGACATTTGATGTCTGGTTCTAAACCTATCTCAACTCTCATCAAGATGAGGATGCAAGAAATATATCTTTTACCATTTTATTCAGTGTGTGTATGAAGGGGTGCCCAGAGCTGCGTGTGCATGCAGAGGCCAGGACTGTAGGTTATGTGTATATGATGGTGTGCTCAGCAATGTGTGTGCGTGCAGAGGCCAGGTTCCTGGTTCTTCCTGTCTCTACCCTTCCATGTGCTGTCGTTCCAGGCACACACGGTCACATACAGTTTGGAATTTGAACTCAGATCCCTGCATTTCACAGCAAGGGGTCTAATAGACTAAGACATCTCCCCAGTCCAAATAATTTGTCTCAGACCTAAAATTAATTTGAAACGATTTCCCTACGTCCTTCACGTTAATTTGATATGCATATGCTTATATAGCATAGATCCGACGGCTATCCCAAACAAAATGGAAGGCAGGGAGGACGTGGAGATGGGCGCCGTTCCTCACCCGTCTTCAACTTTGCCCACTCAGGGCGCTTCTTACCTGAGTGGGTGACCTTGGGGATGAGAGCGTCACAGCGGACACCAGAGGCAGAAGCCGTAGTGAGACAGCAGCTGGGACCACAGGATCGCAGCGTCCTGCCTTGTGTCATTATAGGTTTCCAGCTTCATGCTGTGAGCATCTCCTGGTCTTCTGTCCCTGCCCCTCTCCTCCCAGCGCCACCTCCTCTTATGACTCCAGCTCCCATGGTTCCCTTTAGCTCAACGTCCCTCTTGCTTAGTGTTCTTTCTGGATCCAAGACAAGCCAAGATTCACTAACTAGAAAACAGACAATTTTTAAACTTTATACAGCTCTATATCTGCCATACTGATGCCCATGACCATCACTAACAGCAGTAGAAAAACATTATTTTTATATACATTATCCATTAGAGTGCATTAGAGATTAGGTCCCTTAAGGGATTTTAAAAAAGAGATATTTGTGATGAATGTAACAACTTTCTCATTTTTCTATGTAGAAATAGGTTGTTGCTGTAATAAAAAATAATTTGAGGCTAATGACCTAAAATAATAGTGAGTAATATCCTTCCCCCTTCCCCATCTGCTGAAATAAGGATCAAGTCACCCTGCCACATCCCTCTTAACAGCTCTCTCAGGATGGGTCATAATTCTATGTTTTGTTAATGTCCTAACTCCATAGTGACCCATTTACATCCCACTTTAGGGTTTTTTTTTTTTAATTTTGGTATGATAGACACACAACCTTCAGGATCCTTCATATATGAAGGCTCTATCCTGATTAACTTATTATCGACTCTGTCCCCAAATACGTAATTGTTGAAAGAAGAATAAATTTGCTGCTATGAGGGAGTTAATAATTGATTTTGACTCGGAATATGTGTATGGTGTGTCATTGTGTATGTCTGAAAAAGTAAACTTACTGTCTGCCTGTCGCCAGGAAAAAAAAAAAAAAAAAAAAAAAGTGGGACCTAATCACGCTGTTGTGGGGTCAACCCTTGTGGTTTTAAAGGCCCTTAATGTTATCCAGCTGCGAAATAAAAGGAATTGGGAGGGGAAGTTGGAAGGGGTGGAGAGGGCTGAGGGGGGGGGAGACGTGTGGAAAAGCACAGGGAGTCTGGCTTTTATTTTTTTTTAAGTGAGTTCAGTGCCAGCCTGGACATCGGGTGTGCGGACTATTGAACCATTGTCCCTTCCATTTCCAGAGTAGCCCCCAGTTAATCACTTCGGCTTTGAAGGGAATTTCCTCGTGGAATTCTCCACAGAAAATCTAATCAACTGACCTGCCCTCTCAACAATGGAAGGCTTTTTTTCCCTCTCTCTCCCTTATTGGGGCGGGCTCTGTAATGTAGCCTTTTGTGCACAATGAACCCTCCCAGTAGGAGTGGAGAGCTTGTGTGTGTGTGTGTGTGTGTGTGTGTGTGTGTGTGTGTGTGTGTGTGAAGAATGCACACTATCTCATGTTGGTGACTGTGTGCTTACTCTCCGGCCAGATGCTGTGGTGCACCGGGCAGCCTCCATCCCTGCCTGTGTGTGTGAGTCTGCCGAAGTGTCTCTGTACGTACGTACCTCTGTCACTCCATGTCAAAGGTACATTACCTGATTACCTTTCTTGCCTGCCAGATTTTTATCTAGATAATTGAATCTGCTATGGAGGCTGTGCCTTGCCAGCCAGCTTAGACTCTGGAAAGCTAGAGTCTGTCCAGCCTCTTATCTGTGGCTGCCTGGACAGAGGAAATTAAAGAGCCCCAAGCCAGGGGTGCGCTCAGGCCACCCCGACCTCCCCAGCGATCCGGAGCCGGACTGTCGGTGGGGACTGTCTTCTGGTTTGGATTTGGGGTTTTTTCTCTCGCTCCTCTGGCTGTGCTTGGCATGCGGATACCTGCTCCCCTCCACCAAGGGGATTCTGGAGTTTGGAGCTGCAGAAACTTTGCTTGCGTTGCCAGGACATTCGGAGCACTTTGTGGAAAGCGAGAGCAAGCGGTGAGCCCGACAGAGTGAGTGACAGCCTGTTTACAGGTTTCCCCGAAGGGGTCCCTGCTATATTTCAATCTGTCAAAGTTGCTTTTCTTCCCTCGGAACAATGCCTGATTGTTGTGTGTGAGTGAGTGTGTGTGTGTGAGTGCGTGTGTGTGCGTGCTTGTGTGTTTCCGTGTGCGCTTGGAGAGAGTGGAAAGGAGGGGGGAAGGAATAACAATTCTTTGTGTAAAAATGCTGTTCCTAACATCTAATCTCTTTGCTTAATTAGTTAATAGATGCAGTTCGATCAGGTCTCCGTTATTCTAAAGAGTTCTTTTTTACAAAATGATACCGGCATGGGGTGTGCGTGCGTGTGTGTGTGTGTGTGTGTGTGTGTGTGTGTGTGTGTGAGTTTTTATTTAGAGGCGAGTGGATGGGTGATGTGTTAAACGAGTTGATTTCTCACATTCGGCGATGTCCAGGAGACAGAATTAAGGAAAGGACTGGCACCCCGAGGTTGGCCAGAGCGAGCGGCTGTGCAGAGGGGGGAGCGGCAGACCCACTGCTGGAAGTGCGCTACCCCTTTAAGAGAATGGTCAAGGAGTCCTGAGAGGAGAGAGAGAGAGAGAGAGAGAGAGAGAGAGAGAGAGAGAGAG